ACAAAGGAGGAGGCAACAATGCTTGATAAGAAATGTACTCATTATCTTGCCCATGTAATTGTAACCCCTCTGTATGGTATTTTCACAATAAAATAAAAAGATAGAATATTAATTTACAGTAAAGTTAGTATTAGTTAAGTAGGAGTGTACTCTAAAATAATAGTAAGAGAATACTATGCTACGTATATAAAGAAATCACATAATGTATCTACACGTGACCAAGTATTATGTACTATGCAACTTTTAATAACTTTGATAATACAAGATTGTGTTAATACCAGCCTCTCACAACTACAAATATGTGAGTAGGTGATAGGAATTTTTCAAACCCACTGTACCTTTTGGAACTATCATTGTGTGTGTGCTCTGCTGTTGACTGGAACTTCATCATGTGGTAGCCCATATCTTTGTAAATAATGGACTTTGTGTTAAAAAAAATTAATTCTTGAAGAACAGTACTTATATCTGATTCCATACATCCATGAAAAATTTTCATTTACTTCATCTGATAAGGTTAACAAAAGTCTTTTCTTTTTGAATTATAGATTATTGTCACAATGTACAGCCAAGAACTAGTAGCACTTGATCGGGACATATAAACTATACCTTTCTGTTGAGTTTTAGGAACATAGAACGAGTCTGATTTATGCCTTGAAGATCTTAGCTTAACCAAACTATACCCCTTTGAAAGAGACTCTTTTGGGCTTTAAATATTACAATCTATTTTTTATTGATTTGTTGTCTAGCTTTTACTTACAACAACTTTGATTGATTGTCTTGGTGCCCCCACCTTAGAGTTCTAATAAAGCAGAATTTGACTATAATGGGAATTTAAGAAATTCCTTCAAAATCTCTGCTGGGGAAGTACAATTGAATGTTTTACATTCACAGTGGAAATAAATTGAGTAGTAATTGTTCTTTAAAGTAAAGGAGCTCTCCTCTTCCAGCAGAGAAATCGCAAGCTTTTATTGTTAACATTTTTTTTATTTCATGCAAACATACCAGCATAACTAATTTCAGTGATGTCACCACTATATCTCCATGTTTATTGGTTAGGCTTTTTTGTTAGAGCTTCAATTTCCAATATAAGTATACAATGTTTTGATACTAAGAAATATTCATTGTTCTCTTTATTTAGGTAGATTTTAGTGTTTTTTTGAATGTATATATCTGAAGAGTTGGAGGTTTAGTGGTCTTTTCTGCCACTAAAATGTTTGCCTTATTGAAGTAACTTCTCGATCTGACAAATAGATGGATGTTTTTATCTCATCAAAAGAGTGTTTGTGATGGGTGCCAGTGGTTCACACCTGTAATCCTAGTTTCAGAAAATAATCATAATTTGAAGCTAGCAGAACAGACAAAACAGATAATCCAGGAGATTCTTTTTTTTTTTTTTGGTCAGTCGTGGGGCTTGAACTCGGCTTGGGCTCTGTTCCTCAGTTTTCAGCTCAAGGCTAGCCCTCTCACTTCTTGAGCCACAGTGCCACTTCCGGTTTTCTGGTGTTTTATTGGAGATATGAGTCTCAGGGACTTTCCTGTCCTAGCTAGCTTTGAACAGCCATTCTTAGCTAGCTTTGAACAGCCATTCTTAGATCTCAGCCTCCTGAGTAGCTAGGATTACAGGCGTGAGCCGCCAGTGTACAACAGGAGATTATTTCCAGTTATCTCGAATAAAGCCACTTGGACTCAAGTGATAGATTACCAGCTGTGAGCAAAAAAAGCTTTCAGGCTCAAGGCTCATGCCCTAGTAACAGCATAAGGAGGGAGGGGGTCGGAAGAGAGGAAAATGAGAAATAAGAGTGTTTCTGAAGTACTCTGGAGAGCTACCTATAATTTTTGTCTTTCTTTCTAGGCAGGCATTCAGCCGTCAGTTTTGTTGTACCTTGCTGTGTTCCATGTTCTACCATTTTCACTTATCGGAATTCTTGAGATAAACAAGAGGGTAAGAAATTATTTGTTATACAATTGAAATATTAATTTTATTGACAAGATGTAATGTCATCATTTAATTACTTATTAGATACTTTGATTTTTTATTTCATAACAGAAAACACAAAAACATTTGACTTTGGAAGAGAGATTATTCCTTTCTCTTCATGCCTCTCAGGTGGATAGTATTGAAAACTCATGGGCATTAACAGACTATTTTACAAAATTAGGAAGTACCCAAGGTATTTTTTTCAAGGAGAATATTTCCAAAGCTTGTTAAAAATGGTCATTAAGCTGTAGCAAAATTGCTTATTTTAATTGCCAGATATAAATCTGAAACTTGTTTTATGGTATGTAAACAAGCAATGTAATTAAATATGTAAATTTCCTAACTTATTTAGTTTTGGTTTTATTGTTGCTGTTTTTCATGACTTATAGAGTAGTTAGATGGAAGGCATGAAGAGAAAAAATTCAATTTAGAGGAATCCACTTTTTTATCTTTACTTTTACAGTTTTAAAAATTGTTTTTCTGTATTATTAGTTACTTATTGAGCTTTGCTGCTAGTCTTTAAGCATCTGAAGTCTGTAAGCATCTGAAGCTGAATGTATTCAAACATTTTTATATTACCTAAGCCAAATACATTAACTATATAAACTAAATAATACTGTTACCATTTATTGATTATTTTGTGCCAGGCATTTTTGAGTGTGTGTATATATGTGTGAGTGTGTATATGTGTTCTCTTAAGAAAGTAAGCTGCTAATTTTTGAAGGTCATAACTGAAGGAATTAGAATTCTTTTTTTTGGGGGGGGAGGAGGGGTCCGGTCATGGGGCCTGAACTCTGGGCCTAGGCACAGTCCCTCAGCTCTTCAGCTCAAGGCTAGCGCTCTACCACTTGAGCCACAGCGCCACTTCTGGCTTTTTTCTTTTTGCTTATATGGTGCTGAGGAATTGAACCCAGAGCCTCATGCATGCAAGGCAAGTGCGCTACCACTGAGCCACCTTCCCAGCCCCGGAACTAAAATTCTTGAGGTCAGTACTATACCACTTGAACCACACCCCAGCTCTGAAAGAGCTAGAATTTGAACCCAGATGATACTAGAAGTTTAAGCCAAATTTTGAAAGAAGAGTTGGTTTAGTATAACCTTTATTATTTTGGAATATGTTTGAGTTACACAAGTACTCTTTTTTTTAATGTATGGCATTAGGATTGGTAAATTAAAAAGTCATGAACTACTCAATTCAAAGCAAACTATAATTATCATTCTAAGATAATGACAAAAAGCACTAATAATTTATTTGTTCTCTTTATGCTTGTCGAGTAATTGCATGTGTATATTACATTCTCCAACAGGAATGAACACTTAAAAATCATAATTTGTTCCTCTTTATTTTTGTATATCCCCAGCAGTCATTTGAAGGATTTAGTTTCCATTATGATTACTTGGGATTAAAGCACATCTCTCATTACTATGTGCATTAAGACTACCCAAGGTCCTGGCTCCTGAGTAGTCTTATGTACTTATGCTATTTATGAGATGGTAAATCTTCACTAAGTAATCTTCCTTGAATAGATATAGAGACAAGTTTTCATTTCCTATAGTTGTTATTTTATTGCTATGAATATTCACATATATTGCCTTTCATTAAATATTAAAGTTGGCACAGAATTGTGTTTTTTATCAGAAAGTCATGAAAATACTCAATGCATAAAACAGAAACTGTAGTAAACTATCAGCCAAAGCCTTACTGCAGGTCTATGAAGGTGATTTTTTAAAGATGAACTCTAGTGAACTTTTCTTCACTGGCTGGCCTCAAACTGTGATCCTCCAGGCTCAGTCTTCTGAGTAGCTTGGATTACAAGTTTTTGGTCTTTTAACATATTTTATTTTTATATAGCTGAAAAATCAAACTGTTTCTTCTAATTACTTTGTGATATCCAGTTGTTTTTAATTTGCAAACAGCTAATTTTTTTTATGAAGAACATTTTAGTAAAAAGAGTAGGTGTCTGGTAGAATATGCATGGTAAATAAGTATTTATTTAGAGTTGCATTATCTAAGTGTATTCAGTGTCTCATGTGGAACAGAAGTTGTTATTAATAGATACTAAAAAAGCTGTGATGCAAATGAATGCTGTCACATCATTTTGTGTGCTATGTACTATGCTTCCATCAGGTTTCCAGTCTGAGAATCTTAACAGTTTACTGCTTACCTATAACTAATAACACCTTAGCCTCAAGGTGCTAAGTTATGATTAAGTTCTTATGCAAGGCAGCAAGGTGGTGGCAGTGACCTGAACTTAAAGTGAGAATATAAACCATTGTGAACACTCAGAGGATTGGCCTTCTGGTCTTTTCTTAGGTATATTTGCCTTTCCCCGCAGATTTTTGGGAATGTTACAGATGCTACTTTGTCTCATGGAATACTGATTGTGATGTACGGCTCAGGACTAGTCAGACTCTATAGCTTCCAGGCCATCACTGAACAGGTAAAAAAAATTTCACTCTGCCAAATTAAAATTAAAATGAGTCTTGAGCTGATTTTATTGTTAATGTGATGCTTTTAGAGTACAGCACCTATGTGATTTTCACCTGTATAAAAGTTGCTGAAGCTTGAAAGAAATAACTTTTAAAAAGGGGATGGGGAAGATAAACATAAAGGTCTGAATAGACATTGGCTTTGTCATATGTATGTAAATGTTGCTTATTTCTCTCCAGACAGCAAGTAAATAGGTGCTAAAGCCACCATTTTGTTTTGTTTTGTTTTTAGTTCATGCAACAGAAACTTGACTTAGGTTGTGCATGCAGATGGGGTGGGACTACTGGAACTGTAGGAGAGGCTCCTTTTGGCATTCCTTGTAATATTAAAATCACAGGTATGACTACTATATAGTATTTTTTCACCTTCAAAATAAATGGTTGTATAAGTAGTTATTAATTGTAAACTTCCAAATGTTTTTCTCTTTACTTATAACCTAATTTTTTTACTCTTGTACAGCATATTCTTTACTATTAAATAAGTGTCAACAAATTCTATCAATTATTCATTGAAGAAAAAATCAGGGTATGCTGAGCCTTGCTTGGCCAGAAACCTTTTGCAAACACGTCCCTTTCTGATTCTTGATTTTCTTTATCTGGAAAATATTGCATTTTACACAAGTGAAGTTATCTTAACTTTCTTGTAACATTTTATATTTATATTAATTGCCTTACTTATGTAACAGTAACCCCCCCTGCTCATCACCTGTTCAATAAAAATAAACATTTTATTACATTTAAGGAAAAGTATATTTTTATGAAATTATCCATCTCTAAGAATGGATGTTTTCCAAGAAAAAATCTTGCTACCATGCTATTTGAACATAGACAAAACCTAAATACAGGGGCTAGGAAGTTGGCTCAGTGGTAGTGTGTTTTCCTCACACATATAATGCCCTGGGTTCGATTCCTCAGCACCACATAAGCAGAAAAAAGCCGGAAGTGGCGCTGTGGCTTAAGTGGTAGGGCACTTGCCTTGAGCTGAAGAGCTAAGGAACAGCGCCCAGGCTCAGAGTTCAGCCCCCCTGACAGACAAAAAAAAAAAAATATATATATATATATATATATATATATATGGAACTCTTGGTATACTTATAGACTGACAAAGCAAAAAAAGGAGAACTATCCATGATCCTATATACTGACAGTGTATATCTATATCTATACATGTAGGTATAGATATCTATGTCTAACTTGCTTACCAAATCCTGCAACTTACTAAAAAAGAAATAAACATTTAGCAACTTACTAAAAGAGTAATCAGCCTTTAGTCAAATTCAGTAGTATATATTTATAAATAAATAAACCATGGCTGTCCAGAGTTTATCTCAAAAATCCAAGAACAGTTTAATGGAAATAGAAAATAGTAAATGACAGTTATAAATGAAGGAGAGAGTATAGCCAATTATCCATGAAACTCATTTTTAACTTTTTTGGTTTTGTTTTTGGTTTTTTTTGGGTCCAGTCGTGGGACCTGAACTCTGGGCCTGGGTGCTGTCCCTCAGCTCTTCAGCTCAAGGCTAGCACTCTACCCCTTCAGCCACAGCGCCATTTCTGGCTTTTTTCTTTTTGCTTATGTGGTGCTGAGGAATCGAACCCAGGGCCTCAGGCATACAAGGCAAGCGCTCTACCACTGAGCCAACTTCCCAGCCCCATTTTTAACTTTTTGAATGTCTTCAGAAACCTGAATTAGGCAATTTTATGAAAATTTAGCAATATATTCTAGCCCAAACAATACCATATATATTCACTACAAATGCACTAGTAGGAACCTATTAAAAATTTAAGCCAGGTACTGGTGGCTTATGCCTCTAATCAGGATCTGAGATCTAGAGGATCTCAGGACAGAAAAGTTTTTGAGAATTCATCTCTAAAAGCTAGGTGGAGGAATGACTCAAGTGGTAGAGGACTAGTAGAACAAGTAAACTGAACAAGCTCAAGGCCCTGAGTTCAAACCCTAGTTCTGGAAAGAAAAAAAATATTGATACAGGGACCAGTGGGTAACTGAAATGAGTTATTTTGAAAAGAATTTCTCAAAATTGTAGTGCTATTCTTATTGAAATATAGAGAAAGGATGAATAAAACAAAATGCAAAATGATAAATTTAAAAGACATGGAGATTGAAGGATTGTGCTATTACTTTTAGTCCCTGTTTGTAGTAAGGAGAATGGAAGTTAGGTGTGTTGTGAGAGAAATTAATCAAGGATTATTTACAGTATAGTTTTGAACTCTGTACATTTTTTAGGCCTTTGTAGTTTCCCTCCATGGTCATTTCCTTAGATCTACATATACACACATACTAAGAATCTACCATACTTTTGAGTTTCATCTCCTGTTATTTAAAAATGGTTGCAGTCTGGGCACCAGTGGTTCATACCTGTAATTCTAGCTACTCAGGAGGCTGCGATTAAAGAACACAGTACAAAGGAAAGCCCATGAGACACTTATCTCAAATTAACCACACAAAAAAAGCTGGAAGTGGATCTGTGACTCAAGTGGTAGAGTGCAAGCCTTGAGCAAAAAAGAAAAAGCTGGGGTTAACATCCTGTATATACAGGGAACTCAAGAAACTAATCCCTCCCAAACCTAACAAACCAATTACTAAATGGGCAAGGGAACTAAAGAGGGACTTCTCAAATGAAGAAATAAAAATGGCAAAGAAACACATGAGGAAATGTTCATCATCCCTGGTGGTGAAGGAAATGCAAATAAAGACAACCCTGAGATACCACCTTACCCCAGTCAGAATGTCCCACATCCACAAATCAGCCAACGACAAATGCTGGAGGGGATGTGGAGAAAGAGGAACCCTATTACACTGCTGGTGGGAATGTACACTTATACAACCACTTTGGAAAGCAGTCTGGAGGGTCCTTAGAAAGCTAAAGATTGGGGCTGGGAAGTTGGCTCAGTGGTAGAGTGCTTGCCTTGCATTCCTGAGGCCCTGGGTTCGATTCCTCAGCACCACATAAGCAAAAAGAAAAAAGCCAGAAGTGGTGCTGTGACTCAAGTGGTAGAGTGCTAGCCTTGAGCTGAAGAGCTGAGGGACAGCGCTCAGGCCCAGAGTTCAGGCCCCATGTCTGGACCAAAAAAAAAAAAAGAAAGCTAAAGATTGACCTCCCTTACGACCCAGTCATACCACTTCTAGGCATCTACCCTGAACAACAGGAACCAATATACAAGGACACGTGCACCTCCATGTTTATTGCAGCACTGTTCACAATAGCTAGGATATGGAAACAACCCAGATGCCCCACGACAGATGAATGGATCCAAAAATTGTGGTATCTATACACAATGGAATATTATGCAGCCATTAGAAATGACAAAATAATGGCATTTGCAGGGAAATGGATGGAGCTAGAAGGAATCATGTTGAGCGAGGTAAGCCAAGAGCGAAGAGACAAACGGTACATGGTCTCCCTGATAAGTGGATGCTAAATCCAAAATGTTAGGTGATACGACAAAACTAACAGGACTTAAGAAACAAAGAACTCCTGCTCATCTGGTTGAACCACTACTAAATATCCCCATGCTGCTGATCACATGTATGGTGTATAACATGTGAACACTTATATATTACAGACTGTGATAGACAATTTGCTCCAGGAAAGTTAGAATGAACTTGTGACTTAGAAATTATGTAATCACTTAATCACAATCAAAAAAAAAAAAAAAGAAATTCGGGGAAGGGAGGGAGGTGGTAGGGGGAAAACAATGGAGGGGCTAACAATGTTCAAGAAGAAGTGTACTTATTACCTCACTCATGTAACTGTAACCCTCTGTATAGTATCTTTACAATAAAAAAAGAAAAAGAAAAAGAAAAAGCTCAGGGAGAATGCCCTGTCTGAGTTTAATCAGGACTGAGTTTAACCAGGACTGGCGCACATACATATATATGTGTGTATGCGCGCACACACACAAACACACACACACAAAGTGCAAAACTACATTAAAAGCTTCATTTATATATTCACGCTAATATGTAAACTGTGTATTAAAAGCTTCATTTATATATTCATGCTAATATGTAAACTGTATTTGTGTTCATGCTTTTAAGCTTGTTCGGACTATCTCGAATAGCACACAAAAACCTAGTAAATCATAGTTACTGCCTAAGAGATACAGATGAAAAGAACTTAGTTTTCAATTAATAATAAAAAAGGAAAAAAATAACTTAGTTTTCATTAAATACAGTCATCCCTCCCAATATTGCAGTTCACTTAACTGCAGCTTCACTGTATCTCAGGTTTTGTTTTTTTTTTAAGAAACAGGTAAATAGTGATCCATTCCAGAGATACCCGGAATAGGTCAAAATCTGTGAAGTACCAATAAGTGAACCGCGATATAGCAAGGACCGACTGTATGCCACTGCTACTTCTCGGATTTTGACCTATCGCGGAGTCTCTGGAACAGAACTCCCACGATAGGTGAGGGATTACTGTAGCTCTGATACTTTTTTAATAGTGATTACACCACCTATTGCCAAAGAGTGCTTGTGCATGTATATTCTTAATGTGTCAAGAACTTGATGTACATGCCCTTTTACAGATGAGCTAAAATTTATTGCCTACATTCACATTTTGGTTATTTTTAATTATCTGTGATAATAGTATAAGAATAAATATTCTTATAATTGTTAGTGATCCTCTCCTAAATCACTTGTCATCATGGGTTGCTTTCAAAACAAGTATAATTCCTTTTGCCTTTAGTAGCTAGCATTTTTAAAAATTCTTTTTTGTTATTATGAAGGCGATGTACTGAGGGGTTACAGTTACTTAAGTCAGGTGAAGAATACATTTCTTTTTGTATTATGTTTCCCCTTCTCTCACTTTCTCCCAGTTTTTCCCTCACATCCACCCACAAATTGTGTAGTTCATTTTCTATATAGTGTCTAGTAAGTACCACTGCTGCATTTGTTCATACTTTGCCCCTCCACTAGTAGCTGGCATTTTTATAAAACTAAAAAAAAAAATAATTCATAAGCCAGGCACTAGTGGCTCAAGTCTATAATCCTAGCTACTCCGGAGGCTGAGAGCTGAGGATCGCAGTTCCAAGCTAGCCCAGGCAGGAAAAGTCCATAAGATTCTTACCTCCAATCAGCTAGCAAAAAGCAGGAAGTAGAGATGTGCCTCAAGTGGTAGAGCACCACTCTGGACCAAAAACTCTTAAGTAAGAGTTCAAGGTTCTGAATTCAAGCCCCAGTACTGACACAAAATTAAGATACAATAATTTAATTTATCAACTAAGGATAAACTATAATTTCTTTTAAAAGTAAATACTTAATTCTTTCCCTTTCATTAGTAATAATTAGGAGTTTGTTGGTCACTTTTAATGGTGACAACATAGTGGATTAGACTTAGTGGGTTTTTAAAATTTTTTGGTACCAGTCCTGAGTCTTGAACTAAGGTCTAAGCACTGTCCCTGAACACTGTTCAAGGCCCGCACTCTACCACAGCTCCACTTCTGGCTTTTTGGTGATTAATTGGAGATAAGTCTCATAGACTTTTATTTGCTCCAGCTGACTTTGAATTGAGATATTCAGATCTCAGCCTCCTGAGTTGCTGTGATTACAGGTTTGAACCACTGGCACCCAGCTCTTGGTGGATTATTTTTTCAGAACAATCTTGTTATACAGCCCAGATTGGCTTTGAACTGGTTATCCCTGTAGCTTCTGCCTTGGCCTTGCAACATATTTTTATATCTTAAGAGTTCTTTTTGTACAGTATTACATATTTATAATCATTGTTCTTGGTAAATGCTCAAGTTGTCCAGAATTTGACTAATAACAGCTGAATTTTAGCATACCTTAATAAGTTTGGAGAGCTTTCTTCTTTTGGGAGCAATAATGTGTCCCAGGCTTGCCTTTTACCTTTTTTGTCCTATATCCAACAAGACATCTACTAAGATATCTTAGTAGAAACATGAGTAGAGACTATCAGTTTCTTAGGGTTGTAACTGGGTAGCTTTAAACAACAGAAATGTGTTTTCTCACAGAAGTCATAAAGAAGTTTAAAATCAAGGTGTTGGTAAAACCCGTTTCTCTCTGAAAGCTCCAGGACAGAACTTTCCTTGGCTGGTAACTTCTAATGGTTACTTTAATGTTCTTAGGCCTGTGGCAGTATAACTCTAGTCCACCTCTTTTCATGTGGGCTTCTACCTCTGTCTTCGAATCTCTCCTTATCAGTCATTGAATTTGGAAGCTACCTTTATCCAGTATATCCATCTTGTTTTATTATATCTGCAAAGATTATATTTGCAAAATAAATTATACCTATTACCAAATAAAGTCACACACAAAGACTGCAGGTCAAGACTTCAACATTTCTTAACTCACAACTCTCTGTTGCATTCATTGCAATTGATATGCTTTTAATAGAACAGCTGGGAAACATGTTTATTTTCATATTTCTCTATATTTAAATTTTTTTGGGGCGGGTCCGTTCGTGGGGCCTGGGTGCTGTCCCTCAGCTCTTCAGCTCAAGGCTAGCGCTCTACCATTTGAGCCACAGTGCCACTTCCAGCTTTTTTCTTTTTGCTTATGTGGTGCTGAGGAATCGAAGCCAGGGCCTCAGGCATGCAAGGCAAGTGCTCTACCACTGAGCCACCTTCCCAGCCCCTATATTTAACTTTTATAACTTTGTATTGTCTATATTTATTTTTTGGTTTTGTATTTCTTTTCACTTACACTGAATGTCTTGATTCCAAATAAAACTTATAATACACATATATTTTATAGTCTTTAATTAAAATACCAGTATTTCTACTAAAAATGAAAACAAGGAGTGAAGGTTAAGATTTATCTGCAGTTCCTTTTTCTCCTTAGTACATACCTCAGACATGAGAGACAGGCAGATCATGGTTCCAGGCCAGCCTGAATAAAATGTTATGTTTAAAAACAAAAACAAGCCAGGTGTAGTGGTTCATACCTGTACTAATCCCAACTATGCAGAAGGCAGAGAGTTGTGGTCCAAGGCCAGCCCCAAACAAAAGCAAGCTCCTACTTGAAAAATAAACAAGCAAAAAAAGAACTGGGAATGGATCAAGGCTTGACTTTGAACATCAGTACCACACATGTGCATGCGCATGCTCCAGCGTGCGTGTGCACACACACTCACAAACACACACAAATCAAAAATAACCCCTAAGAAAACAGTAAATCTATACCAGTAATGTGTTTAAAGGTAACAAAAACTGATTTTTCTATATGGTTTTTTTTTACCAATTTGATATAATTGGGTTAAGTGTTGTTTCCATTTTCCTATTTGCTTTTTCTGTTTGGACTTTATTCTTGAAGTTAGGAAATTTGTAACCAATTGAAATGTCTAAACTACGAAAATATATGCTCAGAAATGTTGCTTTCTAGCCTTGCTCTTCCATCCGGTATTTACTTCCTTTTGCACTTTAACTTGCCCTTAAAAGTAAACTTTTGGGCTGGGAAGGTGGCTCAGTGGTAGAGTGCTTACCTTTCATGCATGAGGCCCTGGGTTTTATTCCTCAGCACCACGTAATTAGAAAAAGCCGGAAGTGGCACTGTAGCACAAGTGGTAGAGCACCAGGCTTGAGCTGAAAAGCTGAGGGACAGCGCCCAGACCCAGAGTTCAGGCCCCACTACTGACCAAAAAAAAACAATGAACTTTTGACCATATATGGTAGCTTACACCTATAGTCTCAACTACTCTGGAGGCAGCAATCAGGGGAATCACAATTTGAGACTGCCAGGGTTAAAAAGTTTGGGAAAACAAAATAAGCCAGGCATAATGGAGCAGACTGGGAAATAGAAGCAAGAGAATGTTGAGTTTGAGGCCAGTCTGGGCTACAGAGTGACAACCTGTCTTGGAGAAAAAAGAAAAAAAAAGTATTCTAATTAATAGTAATTGTTATTTTCCTTTTCTTGTCTCTCTTCATCTAGCAAATAGGCTGACAAGATTTGCTCTTTTTCACACTGTCCCCAGCATCATTGTAAAGTTCCTTTTTTTCAAACATCAGGATAGTCCAGACCCATCTGAAAATTTTCTCACCATGAAGCACAAAATTATGTATTTGAAAAAATGTAGGTCTTTCAAACCAAAATGACATTAATAATCAAAATTTGTGCTGTTGAAAGGATCAGTAGGGCTTATCTCTGCTTACATTTGTGTCATTTACAAGAACTACTAGAAAAGTATTTTTCTTTCTTTATTTCTTTGTGTATGTGTATGCCTGAGTATGAGACACTGGGGTTTAAACTTCAGGCCTTACTAAGACCTCACTCTTCCAAGGTCTCTACCACTTGGGCTATGCTACTAATCCTTATTGCTTTAGTTATTTTTTAGATGTGGCCTCACATTTTTGCCCTGGAGTAGAACTCAATGTACCTGCCTACATCTCCTGCACACTTGAGATTATACGGTGTTTTGCTGCACTCAAATCATTGATTGAGGTGGATTCCTGCTAACTCTTGCCCAAGCTGGCCTCAAAATGCAACCCTTCTGATCTCTACCTCCAAGTAGCTAGGATTACAGGTGTGAGCCACCAGGCTCAAAAGTATTTCTTTTCAAGTATGTGTTTGCATTGATTATTTTTGTTTTGAATTCCTATTTCCAATTCTCTAAAATATAGCAAGTTAAGTTTTAACCTTTTTTTCTATTAGAAATTTTTAAATTTTAAGGGTTGGGAAGATGGCTCAAGTGGTAGAGCGTTAGCCTTGAGCTGAAGAGCTGAGGGACAGCGTCCAGGCCCAGAGTTCAGGCCCCACAACCGGATCCAAAAAATAAATAAATTTAAAAATTTTAATTTTATTATTAAGTAGTTGTACAAAGAGATTGCAATTCCATAAGTCACTTATGAGTATAGTGCATCTTGATCATTGTCACCTCTTTCTAATTACATGAAGTAAATCAGCCTCAAAGAGATAAACAGCACATTTTTTTTATATGTGAAAGCTAGATCTGAAATACAAACATGAATGATAACAGTGTTCTATGTACCTAACACAAACTGACCAAAAGATCCAAAGATATAATTCCTCTGAACAACTAATGAACTATGTACCAAAATGAATACCAGGAAGTGGAAACATGTTTTGGGGGGAAGGCCAAGGGGAGATACATGAATGGAGGAAGGAAGGGTGAGCAAATGCAGTCATTTTATTCAATGTATATTATGTAAAAAATTTCAACCTTTTACCTCTGCACACTTGAGACCACATATATTCCCAACTGGCTAGAAAGTTGGCTTCTGCCCCAGTGTTTATTTCCTACTAGCTTTCTCTTTTCTTAGAATTTCCTTTCTGATTACATTTTATTTCTCTGAACCTAGTAAGTTTTCATTCATGATGCATGCAAAGAAAGGTTGCATTTGGCTAATGAATGATCTGAGACAAGAAAAGAGAGCTCATAAATTCCTTTTGCTCATCTCTATGTAGACATTCCACCACTGCTCTTTGAGGTCTCATCTTTGGAGAATGCATTTCAGATCGGAGGCCACCCTTGGCACTACATCATCACACCTAATAAGAAGAAACAGAAAGGTGTTTTCCACATATGTGCCCTCAAAGATAATACCTTGGTAAGTCATGAGTGATTATACATTTTAGTAATAAACTGAATTCTTGCTTCTTCTCCTTCTCCGGGAAAACACCAAATGGCAGATGACGCCGGTGCAGGGGGGGGGGGGCGGGCTTGGGAGGCCGTAAAAAAATAAATAAATAAAATAAAATAAACTGAATTCTTCAGACTGGAAACGTGCCATAGATGGTAGAGCACTTGCCAGCAATGGGAAGATCCTAAGTCTAAACTCCAGTACTACTAGAGGAAAAATATTATTTTTACTCTTCAGCCCCTCTAATAAATCTCTATGCCTGAGTTACATCTTAATCATTTGGTTTAATAATTTGTGAACAGTTTGAAATACAAAAGAGTACAGAGAGTAAACACTTAATGTGTGTGCCCCAGAATTTAAAAACATTAACTTTAAAAATTTTTAGCCAGGCATCAGCGACTCATGACTATAATCCTAGCTACTCTGGAGGTTGAGATCTGAATTGTGAAAGTCCAAAAGAGTCTTATCTTCAGTTAACCACCAAAAAGCCAGAAGTGGTGCTGTGGCTCATGTGGTAGTGCACTAGTCTTGAGCAAAAATGCTGGGAGAGTGTCCAGGCTCTGAGTTCAAGCCCCAGAACTGGCGCAAACACACACACACACACACACAGAGGCTCTGAGTTCAAGCCCCAGAACTGGCGCGCACACACAAACACAGAGGCTCTGAGTTCAAGCCCCAGAACTGGCGCAAACACACACACACACACACACAGAGGCTCTGAGTTCAAGCCCCAGAACTGGCGCAAACACACACACAGAGGCTCTGAGTTCAAGCCCCAGAACTGGCGCAAACACACACAACACACACACAGAGGCTCTGAGTTCAAGCCCCAGAACTGGCGCACACACACACACAGAGGCTCTGAGTTCAAGCCCCAGAACTGGCGCACACACACACACAGAGGCTCTGAGTTCAAGCCCCAGAACTGGCGCGCGCACACACACACACACACACACACAGGCACACACACACACACACAAGCACACACACACACACACACACACAGGCACACATACACACACTCCTTAATGTACCAAGAACTTTTTCTTAACCTTCCAGCAAAGGATATAACACAAAACATTTTTCAAGCTCCACTGAAAAACTTGTTAATGGCATATATTCAGGCTCCCTCTGAAATTGCTGTGGAATGTGTTGTTGATTCTGCCTCTGTGTTTTGTTGCTATTTGTCTATCAGAGCAGAGCGGCTGAAGAAACTCTGGATACCATAGTGTAGGCATTAAAGCACTTTGATTTTTAAAGTATTTTCATAAATTACAGCAGTATAGGAAGAAAATATCCATAGATAAACAATAGAAATTTCTACCTGTTGAATTAATTTTTCTTTCAAAATGTGATGTAGTCATTGATTTGCTTTGATAAACAATTATTGAAGGTCTACCATTTGCCAGCCATAGCTGGTGATACATTTTCTTCTCAAATTGTTTATACTCTCCAAAGGTAGCAAACATGTAGGTAAATAAGACATGATATATGAAAAACAGCAATTGAAATAAGTATAAAGGAGTGAGTCTGCAGAAAGAGGGAGTGCATTTGTGGTTTTACAAATGATTTAGTTTATTCTTGAGATTTTAATATATTAAATGAACTTATTAAACATATTAAATGAACAAACAGGCTCTGCTTATTCCACATACATTTTTTTTAGGTACTAGCTTGTATAATCAGTCATTGCTGGCTACAGTACTTTTAGAGTCACTAGTTACCCAAAATGTTGAAGGTCAGCACAATCTTGAGTCCATTTCCACTGAGGACATTGTGTGGTGTCCTTTAGTTTTTTTTAACTCAAATATTGACCTTTTGAATTTTCTCACTCATCTCCCATGTTAGCTCCTATTGGGGCCTAGCCTAGTGACAATGTTTATAGTGAACCCTCTTAGGGCTGTTGCCTGCCATGACAAGTTTGGGTAATTCTTCACCTCCCTGTTAGGACATCCTTCAGCCACCTTCATCTGTCACATCTTTTTTACTTTTATATCCCATCAAACCCTTCACAATTAACTTTCTGCATATTTAGCATGCATTTTTATGCAAGAACTGATAATGCATATTTTTCATATGTATATTTTTTCATGTTTATACTGAACACACATGTATATAGATATATACATTTGCATATATATAAGAATCATGGCTTTCAACATTTATGTCAAGTATTATTGGTTTTCTCTCTCCTTCCTATTGTAACAGCATTTAGTCAGATTACAATGTTGATAAATAATTGCCAAACTCAGAAGGGAAATGATTTGGATAAAGCCAGTAAAGTCATTATATTCATGCTAGTGTTAATTCACAGTGTTCTTGTATACAAGTTGAAACATTTGTGTATATATGCTTGCATGGTACTGTATATAGTTTTTCAACTCTAGTATTTAAAAAGAATTACAGTGAAATAAATCTCTTTTGCTTTAAATGCTAAACAAGATTAGATCATTTCCTCAGATACAAGAGTTTAATGTTTGACTTACCCAAGAAGATTATGTGACTTGTATCAGAGACTTTAGGTTTCGCTACGTGTTCATATGTGTGTTACCCACTCTTCTGATTGACAGGTGGTTGGCAGTGTGGAAGGGAAAAGGAAGTTATGGGGAATTGTATGTACATATTTATAGAAAGTTCATGGACTTTGGAGTCAGATCTGCTTCTTAGTAGGTTCTAAAAATTCAGCAAATGATGTATACTCTTTGTTTATCAGTTTCCTTGGCCATAAAATGGGGTTAATATCTGCTTTAAGTGTTAAGATTAAGTTAAATACTGGCCATAAAGCATCTCTTACAGTACTTAACACAAAGTACGTGCTTGAGATATAGCTTAGAATATTTGTGTAATATAATGTATGTCACAGAGTAAATCTATATTAAAAATGTTCTGAATTTTTCAACTTTGAATGGTCTAATTTAACTTCCACATATGTCTCATTTCTAATATTTTCTCTTTCCTATATCTTTGGCTCACATATGTCCCTAGTGTTAGTTTTGAAGTTTTTGTTTTCCCTTTAATCTTGGCCTAAATAAGTTTTCCGATTTCAGGCAAAAAATGGGATTCAAGAAATGGAATGTTGTTCTCTAGAATCTGACTGGATCTATTTCCATCCTGATGCTTCTGGAAGAATAGTACATGTTGGCCCTAATCAAGTCAAGTGAGTAATTTCATTACCACTTTAAAGTTAAAAGTAGCTTTTGGTAGCATTTGTTGGCATCTTGATTTTTGCCTGCTATTTTAATTTTGGAAATAGTTGTAAGGTACTTCCTATAAGACTGGCATCTAGAAAACCTGACTTTATTCTTTTAGCTTTGTCATTACTGTTTATATTACCTGTGTTTAAGTTCCTTGTTAGATTAAATGTGAGTGATAGGGTATTACAAGTTGGCTTTCTTCATTGGGTCTTTGTTCTGAAAGCCTTAACACAGGAAAAGTAGTAGATAGTTTTTGGTTTTTGTCATAGGACACATCTCCTGCAAGTTGACTTCTCCGCAATTTGGAATGTTCTTCCCTGACACTACAGTCTGAATATTTTCCTCCTTCTCATATCCCTCTTTTTCAGTAATCTTTCATGTTCTTCTTTCTCTACCCCAATTTCCACTAATTGTTGCATGATGTTCTTCTTTTCACTCACCATTTTCTTTTTTTTTTGGTCCGGTCATGCGGCCTGAACTCTGGGCCTGGGCGCTGTCCCTCAGCTCAAGGCTCAAGGCTAGCACTCTACCACTTGAACCACAGCACCACTTCCAGCTTTTTTTTTCTGCTTATGTGGTGCTGAGGAATCGAACCCAGAGCCTCAAGCATGCAAGGCAAGTGCTCTACCACTGAGCCACCTTCCCAGCCCCTCACCATTTTCTTACTGCTTAATTCTAGTTATTTCTAAATATTAGCTATTCATAATTCTAGTTTATCAATCATAGTTTTATATATAATTCATATTCTAGACATTCATACGTACATACACACAAAATCATATACTAGCACAGTCCTCTCCTCCAGGCTCTTTCTTGATATCTTCCTTAACCTTCTTGTCTTTCATTGGTATACATGCATTTATTTGAACATGCATGTGCATTCGCTCTCTTGCTCACATTGATACATACACATATCTACTCCATATACCATATATTCTATTAATCCAGTTAATTTTACTTCAAGTATTTCATAAGTCTGACTATTTCTGGCCCTACCCACTGTCATCATTTTGATCAAACCTCCTACATTACAACATAGACCACAACGTAGCCACTATAGGGCTCTTATAATCCACTCTTGTATTCTCTTTTCTAATCATCAGTGAAAATTATTTTTTTAAGTATTACCAGTACAAAATCCTAAACAAGTCAATAGGTTTTTTTCCCCCAGTTATGAGAAAGTTCAGAAGAGAATAACAGATTCAATGTCTGGTGAAGGCCTGCTTTTTTCTTAAACCCTTTCATGGCTTCTTAAAGCTTTTAGCAAAAAGACCGGCATAGTTAGCAGGGCTAGAAAATCTTCTTCTGCCTCTCTTCTGCTCCTATAATTTCATGTATGCTGTCTTTTAATTTAGTAGAGGACCTCTTCCCAGTTGACCTCTGCCCCACCTGTTTTCCTACCTGGTCTCTCTTCATAGATTATGGCCCAGTATTTTAGCTTTTTTTGGGGGGGGGGCCTGAACTCTGGGCCTGGGCACTGTCCCTCAGCTCTTCAGCTCAAGGCTAGTGCTCTACCACTTGAGCCACAGCGCCACTTCC